TCACTTCACAGCTGTTTATTTTCACAGCACAGCAGAAGCAGTTTTTTTTAAAAGCACAGCAATACCAAACTAAGCCTTAATAGTTGAAGTTGCATAAACTAACAAAAGGATTCATAACAGATAAACAAAATTCACAATATATATCTTGGGAAAAGTGGCATGAGTTGCTGGCTTGTACTAATTAAGTTTCCTGCATCACCCAAAGCTCTCCACATTAACCAAATCTTCAAAAGCAAAGTCCCCCATTTGGTCTTGATGACAAATATAAGCCATAATCCAGGTCTCTGTTGCATACCGGTGTCGGCTTAATCGGAATAATCGATGAATCAAGCACCTTACTATGACAACCAGGGCACTTCATTTGAGAGGTGAAAAACTGCAGCCATTTGTCCAAACAATCCCCACAAAACAAATGACCACAAGAAGTCACAACTGGCTCTCTTGCCGTCTTCAAGCACAGCTTGCAGTCAAAAGAGAAAGCATGTCTTGGTGGAGACCATGGCTCTGGACTTGCAGGGCAGAATGAAGCTTCAAGTTCATGGCTTTCTTGCTCATCATCATCATCTTTGTTTGTACCATATCTGACCCTCCGCTCATACAACGACACGTGGATCTTAGAAACTTACCCAAGTGCCCAAGGTTCCGAACAATTAGCATCGGCTACCGATAATATTGTCTTAAGTGGGCAAAAGGTCGCTACAGGCCCAACATAGACTACAATCGGTATCTCCTACCGATTCTGCAAAATCAACCTCGAAGCACCCGTAGAATATTCATCAGATACAGAGATATCACAATAGTCATCTTCACCCATGAGTTCACACTCATCTGGTTCTAGGATTCCATCAAGTTCTTGACTTTCATGCTCATGATCATCATCTTGATGATGGGTAGAGCTTGAATCGTCCAGAGATGGGTTAAAATCATCACTTTTTGGGCTATATGTCTCATAACCATCTTCACCTTCATGGGTAGAATATGGATAAAAAATTGAACCCACATCAGAGCTATCATACTCAAAGTCAACCAAGACTAGGGCTTTTTCCATGGAAGCGCAAGCCTTAGTTTCCGAGCAAGAAAACTCATCAGGTTCAGAGATATCATCCCCATAGCCATAATCAACATCTTCATCCATGAGTTGATACTCCTCTGGTTCTGGGATTCTGAAGTGGAAAATCTCACGAGGCCCGATAGCTCGCATCCTTGGCTTGCTGCTTTGAAACCCACGGTTGATCAGTTGTGCTTTACTTTCGTTGTTGGAAGCCATAGATTCAAGTATGACCATACGCAATCAAACCCAGAATGTAGAAAACGCAAAAAAAAATGGAACACGGAGAAAGAAGCGTAAATCGTAAGCAAGAACGAAACCAAGATCGAAGAAAGCGGAGGGGTGAATCCTAATTCTACTAGGAAAGTAGGATTTGTCGACCGTTTGTAATTTTCATTCGAAAATAATCCTTTTCGTTTTTTAAATATAAAAAAAGACCCTCTTCATTTTGGAAATAATAATAATAATAATATTGTTGGGCTGGAAACAAAGCCCAATGGGCGGATAGACGTAAATGGGTCCAATAAAATGTTGCCTCCCTTCTCTAAAAACAAAAAAGAAAAAGGCTCTCTTTTCCTTATTATCAGAACTTAAGAAGAAGCCCGCAGAACCAGAAAAAGACCGCGCACTTGTACTTCTGCTTCAGTTAAAGTAAGCTCTCTCTCTCTCTCTCTCTCTCTCTCTTTCTCTTCCCCCCATAATTTTCTGATTATTGTTGTTATAATATTTTGCGGTTTAACCTTTTGTGCCTGTTTGCTGTTTGTGAGAAGTTCTCTGATGTAATTTTCTTTATGGGTTTTTGCTTGATTAACGCCAAAATTCACAATTCTAATGATCTGGGTTTGCCCCGTCATGGAGAAAGTCTTAGAATTAAGGAAAAAAGGTTTAGCTTTAGGTTTTTCTTACGTATTTTTAACTTTCCAAATAAGAGTCTTTTAGAAGGAAGGTTCTCCTTTAATCAGATTATGTGAAATATATGAGGAGGAGGAGGTTGTGCAAGGGATGCTGGAAAGAAAGCAGAAATGGTGTCTGAGATGAATGCCTTTAACAGGTTTATAATATAACTGCGGAAGGCTACTAGGTTTTTATTGGCTCACATATTCAGCATCTTCTATAGAGAAAGCCTAGAATGAATTTGGAATCTTTTACTCTAATTCTTAACCCAAATCTATCCGCCATGCTTAAGCGTAGTATGTAATCTATATCTAATGTTAAACATAAATATATAGTTCATTGCTTGCTCTTTTGCATTTTCAATTGTCTTTATGTAGTTCTCACGTCTTGGTTACTGAATACATATACCAGAAAGTCATTTCTTTCAGCTTGTTAATTTCTATTAAACTGTGGCACATCCCATTCTCAGTTCTGTAATTGTCTATTTTCCTTACAGTTAATTTATTTATGGACCGTTGGCATGGGGTTCTAAAGGTCCCATTGAACCCTAATGCCAGGACCTACTACCGAGTTGCAGCATCTCTTTGCCTCTCACGTACTTCAAAGACACTAACCGTAAGTTCTGCATACTCAACCCTTTGACTCACTATGTCACATAGCTTACTATTAATAACTCAAAGACATGCAAACTTTTGTTTCCTGTCTTCAACTGAATTCTCTTGAAAGATTCACACTTTAGTCAGGTTTCCTTCTTTCTCCTGAAAATGTTAGAAATACATGACTACTAATTTCCTATGAGGCGTAGTCTATGAATTCTGAATGCATATGTCTTTTCTTCAGGACAGATCTTAAACCCTTACTATATTTGTCTCCTTTCTGGTTTTGGAAGAATGAAGACTTGACTGTGTCTTAAAATTTTCCTGGAGACAGGCTCCTTCAGCAAATGCCATCTTTTTCAATGGAGATAGAGTAGCAGGCACTGGTAATCCAGTGATTGAGAGGCTATCTGACTTGCAAAATATAGCTGAAATACTGGTCTCAAAGATTGGTGAGTCGACCAATGCTTGGGTTATTGATGCTTCTGTTTTCAATGGGCCCTTTGCTGTGTATCGCGACTTTGTACCATCTGTTAATCAATGGGGAGAGCCAAAGTCATACTGCCCTGTTGGATCCCCAGCTTTTGAGTCCATTATTTCGCTCTTATCAAGTTGCCTTCAAGAGGTATATATAGACCTGACGTTGTAGTGTTCCTGGCATCATTATTTTTTTATGGTTATTTAATCACTCAAGTAGTGTTTGCTCAACTGTACATTTTATGGGGAAGAGAAGAGTGTGCATGCAGATGAAATACGCTCTGCCTAATATCAGTGATTGTCAAAATTTAAATTGGATAGACTGAGGGCTATTGCTTAAAATACTCATCCTTCTGATGAACTCTGA